CCCAAGTGACTGTGGTCTAACCCCAAATACCAATGTTTTCTTATGCGTTAAAAATCACAAAAAAAAACATAAAACACACTGTATCTTAGACTTGCTTGCAGTCTGTTGCGATTGAGATGAAAAATAAATATAAATTGCGTAAACGAGGGATGAACGCAAAAGTCATGTGACCGCGAAATCCTAACAGACTTGCCATCAGTGTAAGCGCCCTCACATTACCGGCAAGATTCGGGCTTGTAATGATTGGAGGATTGACATGTCTAATATGTTTCAACCAATCAGAAGACAGGCTAATTAACATATCAACTGAGACCCCGGAAACCATACACACTTTCTCGGATAAACTTAGATCCCGAAAACTTTACCTACTTTCTCATATCCGAATCGCATATTAGTATGCCATTTTATTTTAGATTGAATTTCAAAACAAAAAAAAAAAAAAAAAAAAACGTGTAATGTTATCAGGAGAATGTTTGGAGCGAGCCATAATAGTATTAGGATACCAAAGCTGGATTTTCGCGGTCACATGACTTTCGCGTTCACCCCTCGTTTACGCAATTTATATTTCAAGAATTTTTCATCGGAATCCCAACAGACTGCAAGCAAGTCTAACTGTATCTCAAGATTTACTCAAAATGTATTACCCTCTTAAACGAAAGACCTTTCTAAGGTCTGTGCTTAAACCATCACTACAATTGTGTTTTTCTAGTTGAATGCATGCTCTATATATCATTATAAGAGAATGTGGGAAAAAAAGTAAATTTGATATTTTTAAGGGAAAAAAATCTCTACTACATCCTCAAGCTTCCAAAATACGAACATCGATATTACGGGATGTTATACTAATAGTGAAGGTTCAATTATTTATCGGTAAATATTTTCAAGTACTAGTAGTGACAAACTAACACAAATATTAGCTGATTCAAAAAATACAGAAATTACTTTTACCATTGGTGGACTTCAGCTTGTAGATAACCAAACAGGTTTCAACGTGGTTATCTGATTGTACATAAGTGATCTATATATCTGTCTACTTTTCATGGAAAATTATTATTTTAATCTACACTTTAATTTTCAACAACCAGCATTATGGAGATTTTATTAAACGAAAACTTATGGAAATTTATTTTGTTATATACTTATTCATCATCAATTTTTCACTGCAAATTGTCACTGCCAGATCAAGTGTACGTCATTCCATGTATGAATAATTATGGGTAATCATGGTATTTTACTTTTATCACAGTCACTCTACTAGTAGTACTAGTAGAGTGACTGTGCCTCCAGGGCTCATACCACTAATTGAATTTCCATAAACGACAATGTTAACATATGACGAGATTGCTATATGAAAATGATGAAGAAAGTTGAAAACATGGCTCAAAAATGGGAAATCAACATGCCAGTAATCAACCATATGAAAAAAAACTAACATGTTGGCCAGCTCAAACTCTTACAAATCTCAGGTAAACAAGACACACCTACTGTATTTGGATTGCACCTAGAGAAATCACTGGAAAAACACCAAGATTAGAACATCCAAATACACACAGAATAAACCCACAGGTACACAGCCGCTAAGTAGTAAACAAAAGACCACATGTTGGTCTCACCTTTGACCCAGACAATTACGCCCTCAAACAGGGAGCACCTGAGAAAAATATTTAAAAAATTTCATTGGTTCTTGCAAGCCATTGGTTAACTAGTGGCATGAGACCTCCATGGAACAATGAAGTAGACTACGTTAGTAGGCCCTCTGGTGCCAAGCTATTTATTTATTTATTTATTTATTTATTTATTTATTTATTTATTTATTTATTTATTTATTTATTTATTTATTTTGTCTCTACATGGCGAACAGACTTGTACCGAGGGCTATCGTAACTGGGTAGGTCGTTCTAATCATGAAATACTTGACTTTATATGTATGCAGAAATATAATATTTATGTTGTTTATGACGTCAGTGATTCGAATAAGGTTCGCGTTTATTACATGCTATTCGAGCCGTTTTAGGCAGTGAATGTGGGGTAGTCAGGTGACCGTCCACTTACAATGACGATTAACTGTGCCGGGTGTTTATACGCTCGTAATGTGCCGGTAACTTATATTGAAGCGGGAGGGTCGTCACCTGCGCACGCGCGGGAATTGAGTCCCAAGCGACGATAACAACACACGCTAAAAACGCAAAGGCTCATGGGTAGACGCTTGTTTGTAAACAGCTACACGCTATGGCCATCTGATGCATGCGCAGTTGACGACTCCCCGTTTTAACACATGCATTTCATTAAGGTGTTTCTAGAGAACCAATGGCTATAACATTCAGTCATTT